TAAATAGATCTGATCTTTCTCTTTTTGTTGGCTCTGCATGAAAAAGTTAAAACTGGTCTATCTACTGACCAAAGAAAATAATTAAAGAAAAAATCTTGAACATTCAAACCTGTGATAGGACTAGATAGTTCTACTTTCAGATACTTCTTAGGAAAAAAACTAAAATTTTCCAGATGGGACCCTGATTTTCTTGGTCTAAAATAATTGATTTTAGTAAGGAATAAACAACATTGAAAGAAGAAATATTAATATTGAAGAAACATTTTAGAGAAAGAGATTAATAGCCATTAGATTGGTATAATGGGAATTTAGCCTGTCACTGTAGCCTATGAAGCACTGTGTGTTGCAGATGTGACACAATTATTCAAGCTGGGGATTGAATGACAAATAATGAAGCGAGACCTCTTAAGGAGTAAACAATATGAAAGATAATTGAGTCCATATTGCTGTACACCAAAACTACTCTAAACAATAAAGTTTATTAAATAATAGTAACACTTGAAAAATAATAGAGGGAATGTGAAAGGATCAATTCAATCAGAATTTGGTGAGGGAAAGGGGACTGAAGTCACATTGTTCCAGATTTAAGCAATGCCACATCCTATATTTTATTACCAATGTTAGTTTTTATTTCCTTATTGTCTTTAAATGCTTTTACTCTTTCCCTTTGTTGACAAGTAAGACCAATACAGTTTTGGTGTTTGCTGTGGTTTGGATATTTGTCCCCTCCAAACCTCATATTGAAATTTCATCCTCATTGTTGATAATGGGGCTTGATGGGAAACATTTGGGTCATGTCGGTGGATCCCTTATGAATGACTTGGTGCCATCCTTGAGGTAATGAGTGAGTTCTCTCTGTATTAGTTCCTGGGGGAGCTGATTGTTTAAAAGAGCCTGGCACCTCTCTCCCTCTCTTACCATATGATCTGCACATGCTGGCCCCTTTCACATTTTGCCATGAGTAGAAGCAGCCAAAGGCCCTCACCAGAAGCAGAGGCTGGTGTCATGCTTCTTGCACAGCCTGCAGAATTGTGAGCCAAATAAACCTCTTTTCTTTATAGATTACTTAGCCTTAGGTATTCCTTTATAGCGGCACAAAATGAACTGAGACACTATTCCTCTAATTACTGATAAAAGAGTTGAGAGAATGCCTAAGTCATACTCTGGGTCCAAGGATAATGAATCCCAGAGATTTCAGAGCTTGGGCCAAGTGTTAGAAATTCTACTGTTTTCTACTGACAAAATAAAATAAAATAAAATAAAACAGAGAAAAGGACCTTCAAAAACAAATTTCTCCAAATTAGTTACAAAGGTCATTAATTTCTTTCTTGTTAGATGGTAATTTTTTTTTTCTACTGTAGATCAGCAGTGTGGGAGGTGACAAAAATTGAGAGAAGCTTGTGAAACTATACTATGTCTTCATCTTGATCCAGATGTATAACTTTGATTTGTTACCAGCCTTTTTTTGTACGTGTGTATCTATGACTTCATGCAGATAAAATTGTCTGAACTATGTAAGTCCTAACAGACTTGTCTCTTTTTAAATGATTCTAGGACCCCCAAATGCCATCACTACTGAGATGAAGATGTTGGCACTGGTACTAGAATCAATAAACACAATGCAGATTCTACTATGGCAGCATATTACAAGAATTTGAAAACATTGAAAAAAGATTTTCATCTAGCAGAACTTTGGAGAAGAGCAATTTATTGTATCATAGACCTCAGGTGATTGATAAACACTAAAAATTACTTCTAATAATCGTTAATTTAACAAATATGAGTGCTTACTCTGGGCTATTTATAGTAGCAACAATAAAAATAGTGTGCTATATTTCTTCTATAAAGAATTTATGACAAAACAACTGTCAGAAGGGCATGGGCTCCACGTTGCCTTTTTCTAGTCGTTATGTTTTCCATGCGCTCTTATTTGGTCTGGTGTATGTCCTATAGCATGCTAATTCAAGACCATCTGTTGGGATTAGGATTGCAGTGGTGCATTGTTTCTCTGGGTGCAAAACTAAATGCCTTTTATAGATTGACAAAATGAAGATTTTATTTTGCATTGTCTTCCCAATCAATTTAGTGCTGATTTTCACACTTGGTAATGAGAGGTGGAAAATCTTTGGTTTGAGTTACCCTATTTAATGTTGGAGAATGAAAGGGAATGGATGAGTAAGTTGGACGTCAAGCTCCCACCAACTTTAGTCAAAACAGCTCCAAAGCAGAAGGGCTTTAGTTCATTTTCCCCATCCAGGAATCACCCGTTTGCTTCTTAGTGGCATTATTATTCTGCAGGTTGTTAACCTGCCTCAGGTTAACAGCTAAAAGAGAGTTGACTTTCTGAAAATATGTTACTTCCTTGTCTCTTGATTCTCATCTCACAAAAGTAAAAAGTGTGACTAACATCCACAGGCTGTCAGGTAAATACGTCGTTGTTCCCTAAGAAATTCCATTGTTATTTCTGCATTATACCCACTGTTTCTTCTTTCAGTTACTGAAGCCTCACAAAACTTCCTCAGTTCCTCAAAACCTGCATTGTGATGAGACAATGAAAACACAGGCATTCAGATGGATACTTAATGATGCAGTAGTTGTTTTAAGTGAGGCTTACAGGTCATTAGAAACTTGAGTTGAAAGTTCATTTTGCCATTCTCTAGTGTTAATATGACAGTGGACAAGTTACTGAACCCCTCTGTGCCTCTATCTCAGAAAAATTTACAAGGGGTCCTGGAATAACATCTTGTTCAATGTCATTTTGTTATAACATTGATGAGAAAAAGAAATCAATTCCTGGGCCAGGCTCACTGTCTGTGTGGAGTTGACATGTTTTCCCCATGTCTGTGTGAGTTTTCTCCAGGTTCTGGGGTTTCCTCCCACATCCCAAAGCTTTGCCCATTAGGTGCATTGGTGTGTCCACATGGTCCCTGTCTGAGAGAGTGGGTGAGTGTGTGCATGCCCTGTGATGGAATTGCCTCCTGTCCAGGGCTGGTTCCCACCTTGCACCCTCAGCTGCTGGGATGGGATCTGGTCAACCATAACCCTGAACTGGAATACGTAGGTAAATAGTTATCTTGTTTTTATCAATCTTTTATAAATGTATGTATAGCTTAGGTTTATTTCAATGTTTAATATTAGAAGCATTTTGAGTCATTATTTAGAAGTTTAGTAATGTTTTCGTGACTAGAAGTATGCCATAGGAGCTTAACTCTTACTTATATCAATCAGCTCATGGGAAAATTGGCTTCATTATAAATTTTTTCACTTTATGTCACAGTTTCCAAGAACCTACGGAAGACATTAAGTGAGGACTTACTGTGTATAGATGGTTGTGCTTTTGACGGACTAAATAAGCTACTGTGTGTGAAGCATGCAGCACAGTGCCTAGTACCTGGTAAGTGTCCATAAATTGGAGGCTATTACTGCTGTAATAAGGAAATCTATATGCATTAAAATGCCTTAGAAAGCTTATTGTAAATAATTGTAATATGAACATATATGTGGCTTTCTTGGATGATCTTGTTATTCTCTATTTCAGAGGAAGTCCAGAAAGAAGCCTGCCTGTTAGTTGTCTAGGAGTCAAGGGGCTTTTTGACAGTACATATTACACTGATAAACACTGACTTAATATGGGCTGTAACCACAAGGTAAAAAACAGGGAAAAAGAGAGTGGAACAACCACAGTAACCTACTTTCCTGGTCAGAGACCAAAATATTAACTGCTGTAAACCTCTCATGTTACAGTTTGAACAAATCTTAATAAAAATTAAAATCCACTCCCTCATTTCATAAATGGTAAACTGAAGCCCCCATAAGAGTTAGGGGCAGAACTATGACTATACTCAGACCATTCTTTCCCTGTACTTTATATATACCTTTTATTATAAAAAAATTTCAAAAATCACAGAAATACAAAGACTAGAACAATGTACATCTATGTACTCATCATCCAGCTTTAATAACAACCAACCTGTTACCTCTCTCAAAAAACCAGCTTTGAATCTGAGCCTAGCGTCATTTATACTCCTTCACAGAGCTGTTCAGAACCAGTATCTTAGAGCACATCTCCCAGGCAAAGAAATGTAGCAATAAAAAGAGAAGGACATACCATGAGAAACAAAGGCAGGCTATCAACAAATACCTAAAAGGTAGAAAGTTATCTCAAGTTGTTCTTACAGTAGTCTGGAAAACACAGTCTTGTTCTGAAAGGACGCTGTTCCTTTAAATTGCTTACTGATCCCACCCAGATCTTGCATCTGGCCAAATGCCTGACCACTCTTGCTTTAACTTAGTCTAATAAACATGAAGAAAAGATTGCAGAACATCCTAAAGCAAAGACACTTTTATTTCTCACAGAACAGAACAATATCAAATAGCTAACTTCACCCCCAACCATAGTCCTTGCTGTTGGCATTTACTCAACTAGTCTTTACTCAACTAGTCCTGTTTGACAAACTTTATAAGGTAAGACATAACGGCTTTATTTTAGTCACTTGAAATCAGATAGGACCATCAAGAAACTGTGGAAGACTAAATGATTTACATACTTTTTAGGTGAAGAAAACTTGTCAAAAGTTTTTATTCTCTGTTCTTCAAATCATTATTAGAAAAATATTAACATTGTTAAAATGTAGAAATTTAAAATTTAAAGTTATTTTGAAATTGATTTTTAATTTACAGTCTTCTAAATTGTATGACAATGATGTTAATATATTTTAGGACATCTTTTTCTTAATTTGGAACAGGTGTTTACAACTCAGAATTAGCTATACAATACTTTATAACTTGGCTAGTTTGTCAATTTGAATAACGTCTTCATTCATACATTTTATATTTGTGTAGAAACTAATGAAATGCAAGCATTGTAACTAAAGTTGGTAAGCTCTGCTGAAAGATCATTTTATTTTTGAAAAATCACAAAAAATAAAGTATTTTGTATTTATTGATCCTGATATTTACCCAAAATAAATTTTAGGCCAGAAAGTAAAAATATGGTATTTGATTATAAATTATGATTATTTCTGCATTTATAAAATTTAACCTATAGTAAACACAGAGGTTCACATTTCTTTCACTTAACTAATGGCATTGTTTCCTCTGAAACATATTTTGCTTGTATGTGACATCAGAAAGAGAGAAAGATAAGAATTATTAAAAACAGAGGCAAAATAAAACATGATTAAAAAGTGATTAGAAATGAGTGGGCTCTCAAGATGCCAAATTAATAGAGGAGAAAGATATTTCAGGAAAGCAGTAGAACTAACAAACTCGATAAACAAAACTAGAGAGGTATGCGAATGTCCTCTGGCTACAATAGGGAAACAGAAAGAAATAAGACTTTGATTTGGGAAGGCTAGATTAAAAATGTCAGAGCAAATGAGACTAAAATATGACATTGTGATTATTGTCAATAGAAAAGTTATGTTTGTGAATATCATGTATACAGGGGTCAGGTATGAATTCATGATTATATGCCAAGAAAACAGTATGAGCAGGTACTTAGTTTTGGGAAAAGATAAATCTTTATTTAAGGCCAGTATTTCTAAAGCTTTACATGAAGGGTTTTGAAGAGTTGCTTGATTGTATTGCTTATAAAATCTTGCTTGGTTCTCAATGGAATTCAATTCTCAGTCTCTTATTTACAGAACTTCTGATTTTTCCCTTATGGTATGAACTCAACCAAAGAGAAAAGTCATATGTAATACCATGGCCACAGTGATATTTCCTTACCCCTCTGAAAATGCAGTAACAGCTGTGTTTTTCACATAGCCTTATGGTTACACTAACTTTCAGGCTTAGAGCTGTACATCATTTATTCTTTTCCTTGGTTAGCAAAAGTATAACTTGAGGAGAGATGGCCTTTGTGTGTTCTGTTTTCTTAGCACACTTCTTGGTTATGTTTTGTTTTGTTTTGTTTTTTAAATACCCAGCTGTCTTTACATCTTAGTATACCTTGTCTGAGCATCAGTTGGCATTTGGCCAGTTGCAACCTGAGATGTTTGGTCATACCTATCCAAAGTTCTTTTAATAAACATCCAGCTGGATGATGCTATGTGAGGAGCAGATTATGGCATGAAGCCATCCATTGGTCCTCTCCTAACCCAACAGCTTTGTTTCCCTTTGGGGTTTATCCATCTGGCATGTATGAAAAAAGTCAGTCTTCCATCTCACTCCTCACTGCCTTTGCATATATTTCCACCCTTTATTCAGATTCTGGAAAAATCGTGCTCATGATTTCCCAGATTCTTATCCCCTAAAGGCAAAGTGCCAAAGAAGGAAAATGTGATTCCTTTTCCAGAATTCCTGAAGTCAGTAAAGTTTCAGCAGGCAAGCATTTTCAAGCCATGCTAAATATTGATTTGAAATAAGCTTTCTCGTTCCCATTCTCTTTGATATACTGAGACAGCAACATGTGAGTCTTCTCCTGCCAGGGAAATCTATGAGTTTAAAAGCCATTTGGTATGTAGCTAGGTATACTGAATGATGAAGATTGAGAATTTTAATACAGAATTAGATTTTTCATTGTTAATCTACATAGAAAAATAGTTTCACAGGGCTATTCAGAGGGGGTGCTTCTTGACTTCAAGTCCTGTTTCTGTCCATTAGTGCTTTTAGCCGTCACTGAAAGAAAAGTGTTGTTTTTAAGCAAATCCGTTATTTTTACTATCATACTCTCAGATATACAGCTTTGAACACCTGGTGGAGACAAAATTGCCAAAGCTAGGGTAGAAAAAAGAAATGGGATTCTATGGAAACAGAAGGGCAATTTAATTTTTACTTTGACCTCTGAACTCATTGAAGTGATTTGTATAGTATTAACTCTGAAAGGGTGGTAGTTGTAAATTCTGCAAAATACTGTATTTGTCAGGAATCAGTTATAATAAAAGTGAATGTAATGACCGTATAGCAATCTGAATTCACCCTGAAGAATCTGGAAATGTCAAAGTAGACCCTGTGATTGAACCACAGTAATCATATATAGTCGATTGAAATGTTTTTAAATGGCTCTGTCCACCCTATGGACCTCATAATATAATGGGGAATTGAGAATACTTGAATATAGTTCTTTGAATATATAGAAATATTCACTAATAAATGTTTGATCATGGTGCTATGATTTACTTGGATTGAAATCTTTTAAAATCTCAATGTGAATATTTTTCTAGAAATATGAATGAAAACGTCTTTTTCCAGTCACACGCCAGTTTTCAACTCTGTTGACTTGAAATTTTAAGATAACAAACATCTTATTTTATTAAAGTATTTATAACTGACTTTTCTATTATAGGTGCTGCAAGACAGATGATTTTTCACCAACTACCGTAATGTGGAACAGATATTTTGTCTTCTATCTCCTGCTTTTGTCAGTGTTTACTAGTCAAACAGTATCTGGACAAAGAAAGAAAGGACCAAAGCCAAATTTGCTTGCAAAGAAAAGTGATGTCCAGGGTAAAAAAAAAAAAAAAAAAGAAACTTGTTTGTTTTTAAGTTTAGCCTGTTAAAAATACTTATGTGAATTTTTCTAAATAGCATTTGATATTTATAGCAAGCCATATACATGTATACATGTGATAGTCTTCTTTTATAAAATTATATGATAATATACCTAACATACTTATAGCACATCAGAGTAAGAGCACTTGTGCACTTATTATCCCATTTGAGCCTCACAGTAACCTTGTAAAATAGGCAGGACAGAGATTGCCACTCATAGCATAGATAAATTGAGGTCTTAAGTGGTTGAGTGGCATACTCAAGGGCATAGGCAAATTAATGAGTAAGATTCAGAGCTGAGATTCAAGCTTAAGTTGGGTTTAAGTTAGGTTTCTTCCCCACTTACTCTTACTACAATGTATATAGTCATTTTCTCCCTTGATTTCAAGAAAGTGAAAAAAAAAATAGAGACTCACCAATATGACACAACCTGAGAATGAGAGTATCATTCACTTCTAGACAGCGATGCTCAGTGTTAGTTGGATTTTTAAAATGTGATGCATCTTGACTTCCCATTTCCTCCCACTTTCAGCAAGTGTAATATTGAGAAGATGCTCAGAATATATGATATTTTATTTATTTTTAATTTGCATGATTTTATAAGGAGAAAATAATTTATAAACTTAGACATTTAGTTTTTTACAATTTAAGGCTTTTGTCCAATGTGTCTCTCTTACTCTCCTCATTCTGCTCTCAGAATGAAACAATATACAACACACCACTTCAGGGCTTTCCTTATGCAAATTTGTTTCATGATAGGAATAATTATTTTACCTAACCTGTTTGTTCTGTTTCAGACTCCATTTGTTTCATAGATATTGTCTTCATCGTGGACAGCTCTGAAAGTTCTAAAATTGTCCTCTTTGATAAACAGAAAGATTTTGTGGATAGCTTGAGTGACAAGATTTTCCGATTGACTCCTGGTCGCTCTGTGGAATATGACATAAAACTGGCAGCCCTTCAGTTTAGCAGCTCTGTCCAAATTGATCCACCTTTTTCTTCTTGGAAGGACGTGCAGACGTTTAAGCAGAAGGTCAAGTCTATGAATTTAATTGGGCAAGGTACTTTCTCTTATTATGCCATCTCCAATGCCACTAGGCTACTTAAGAGAGAAGGGCGAAAGGGTAGTGTGAAAGTGGCTTTGCTGATGACTGATGGCATCGACCATCCAAAGAATCCAGATGTTCAAAGTATTTCTGATGATGCCAGAATTTCAGGAATATCATTTATCACTATTGGACTTTCTACTGTAGTCAATGAAGCCAAACTTCGTTTGATCTCTGGGGATTCATCCAGTGAACCCATTTTACTGTTGAGTGATCCAACCCTAGTGGATAAAATTCAAGACCACCTGGTAGGTACCTAATGGGTTGGTTATATAGTTATCATCATAATATTGATATATTTATTGTAAATTCCATAAGGAGAGATATTGGATCAAAAAGACGGGGAAAATGAGAATTCACCTTGAAAGCGGAAAGAAGAATCTTTTGGAAGTGTCACTCTACTTTCTTGGCAGTTTACTTCAGATAAACTGGAAAAGTTCCAGGCAAATTCCCTGGAATTGCATTCTTAACTTTATTGTTAGCTGATGCTGATGATTTTGGAAGTATTACTTTCCAGTTGTATACCTCAGGCTCCTGTTTGTACATCCTACAATCATGAACATTGCTGACTTATATTCAGGTTGTGGTCTTAGGCTATATTTGTTCTAAGTTGGTCTTTTCTCGTTTCCTATCTGCACAGGTATTTTTGACATAATTTTCACATACTCACTCTTCTAAAGGACTGAATATTTGTGATACTGTCTCACCTATTGTTACATTATGCTACTTTAAAAATTTTTAAAACTTCCAATTTTTAAAATTACTGCTTTGTTTCTTAGATGTTAACAAGCCCATCCAATTTAAAATCATCTGCAACCCACAGTCAAGCAACAGTTTCTCCCATCAGATCAATGAGTACCACTTGATTGATCTTATTAGCTTTTCTTTATTTGTTGCTTAGCTGTGTGTAAAAGCCTTTCCTTGCTGCCTTGTAAAAAACATGCCACAGCAATCAAAAGGAAATCCCTCTTCTCCATATTTCGGAAGGAGAAAACTTCTAGAGATAAATTGGTTGATTGCCTAAGTGTTAAAAATCACTTTTCTTAAAAACTTGGATTTCTTTGATTTCTTGAGGAAGGAAGGCAAAGATATCCTTTATGTACTGAGCATTTCGTATGGCTGTTTTCTACATCTCAGAAAACTCAGGCTCTATTTCAGAAATTGTTTTGCTCCTTTTGTTCTGTCTCTGGATCCTTTTCTCAACATTACTCTTTTTATTCTCTGTTGTTTTCAGCATACGACCTGAGGTTTTCTTACCTAAATAATAGCTCTTGTGTATTGAGTACTCTCTCTTTACTAGGCATTTTCCTGAGCACTTTATATATTGTATTTTATTCAGTGTTTGCCACCATCTTATGATGTAGGTACGGTTATTATATCCATTTTGAAGTTGAAAATTTAAGGCCAGTGAAGACCTCACAGTTTGCAAGCTTAACCCTGTAAAGGCATATTGAGAGGGGAAATAGTAACTACTTTTTTACAAAAGATTTTCTCAATCAGCGCTGCTCTGAAACAGTTTACTAGCAGCCCTCTTCCAAAGTTACTATTGTTTCTAGCCTTTTCTCCATGGGGATTCAGGGTAAATGGGAGATTTCTGCCTAGATCAGAGATGGAGCTGATGGGCCCAGCCCTGCGGTGATCGAGGCAAGTGCTCATTCTGAGCAGCTCTTTTGCATGAAAGGGAAATTTGTAGTGGTTCCTGGCTAACACTTAGCCCTGCCTGTGCCATGACATAAGGGGTCCTCACCACTGAATGTAAAACACAGGGCTCCAGCAGGTGCAGGAGAGAATCCTGGGGATGTGATCATGAGTGGGCTGTTGTTACTATTCATCTTTACCCTTAAGATGGATAAGAGCTGACCATGGAAGATGCAGGACAGGCAGCTCCTTTTTGGCCACATGTGTAGGCTCAGATTGTTCACACTGCCACCAGATACACCCTCGCTGAGAGCACCTGCTTCACTGAGAACACAGGCTCTTGACAGTAGACTGGAAGCACAACTGTTTGTTCCTGGGGAACCAGATAATACTGCTCTTCTTTAGCATCCAGTGACTTCAGCTTGTTTGTTTAGCATCTGTTAGTAATTTCAGCTTGTTTGTTCAGATGGAAGCTCCATGAATAAACAGCTTCTTAGAAGGAGGTGCTACTTTCCAAACACTTTCAGGATCCAAAGTGCTTATTAGGCTCTTAAAGAATGGTATACCAACTTATGATGTTTCAAATTGCCACCATCTAGAAGGCAGAACTTGACTGTTTTTTTGTTTGTTTGTTTGTTTTTTGAGATGGAGTTTTGCTCTTGTTGCCCAGGCCGGAGTGGAATGGTGCGATCTCGGCTCACTGCAATCTCTGCCTCCCGGGTTCAAGTGATTCTCCTGCCTCAGCCTCCCAGTAGCTGGTATTACAGGCTAATTTTTTCATATTTTTTAGTAGAGATGAGGTTTCACCATATTGGCCAGACTGGTCTTGAACTCCTGACCGCAGATGATCTGCCTGCCTCAGCCTCCCTAAGTTCTGGGATTACAGACGTGAGCCACTGCACCCGACCCAGAACTTGACTCTTGATGAGACCATTGAAAAAATTCTTTAATCCCTTTCTATTACATCTTTAGTTGACTTTTTAAACTTTTTATTTTGAAATAATCATGTAGTTAACTTTTAAAGTAAGTTTTTAGTATGATTTAAGTGTACAACTGCATCAACTTAAAGTGCACAATTCCATGAGCTTTTGACATAGGTACACACCTATGAAACCACCAACACAATTAGGTTACAGAACATTTCCGTCATCTCCCCAAATGGCCTCATGTCTGTTTCTAAGACCTTGTTTGCTCCTGAGCTACTGATCTGACTTTTGTGATTCTAGTGTATACTTTCTAGAATTTTATACAAACTCAAATAGTATGTATTATTTTTGTGTCAAGCTTCTTGTACCCAGTATAATGATTTTCAAACTCATCGGGTTGTTTTCTGTATCACAAGTTTATTCCCTTTAATGTAGAATAGACTTTAGTTGAATTTAATGGACATGAGTATACAGAATGAATAGATTCTTCAGGAGCCAAAACAAATCAAATTGTTGCAAATTCCTTGATGCCTCTAGTAAGAATTATCATGTAAGAACCTCATAAAAACATTTTAGTTCTGAATTACCCAAAAGAGACTTAATGATTTCAAATTGAAGGAGATGTAAAATATTTTTATTGCTATTTTATTATAATTTACACAATAGTATTGAAACTAAAGAAATAAATTCAACCCAAAGTCCTGGATATATTACTTGGTCCTTTAGAAGAGTAAGAGAGGATATGTGAAAATTAAAAACAATTTTTTCCTCTATTGCCTTTGATGTGAAGTATTTAAAAAGCCTTTATGGAAATAAGGGTTGTGACAACTTTGCCTTTTTTTTTTAAAAAAGATAAATTTAAGGTATTACCCTTACATACCAAGAAGAGATTAATATGATGATGTCTATATCATCTTTAGAATCCTATGCTTCATTAATCTATTAAGCATGATCACTTACCATTTTTTCAAGACTTCCCCTGTTTAGGGGCTTGTTTTTGTTTTCCGTTTTACATTTTATAGTGGCTGTTTTGCTACCATTGTAAGTTGAATTTTTTTGCCACAGGGTTTGTTCTCCTTGCATACTAACTGCTTTACTGTCATTTCACTTATTATGATACTTTGTTCATTCCTCACGTTTTTTCTGTCCCCTTCTTGTAGCATAGACCTTACACTCCTTGAAAAACTGGCAGTTCCATTCTAGTCTTCAGGTTTCGCATATATGATGCATGTGAATATATGTCATATATATGAATCCATTAATGAAATTCTGACTGTGTCTTCTTTTGCTCTCATGAGAGCCTTTCCCTATTTATCCTTTTCACTGAAACTCAAGCATCCGCCAAGTCCATCATTGAACACGCCCTCCCCTCAGGCTTTGACACTGTTCTCATTGCAGCCCGCTTCCCAGCATGAGTGCTAGCCCTCGCCACCTCCCAAGGCCTCCAGCTCTGTCCATGTGGGCTCTTCTGTCCAATCCCTTGAAATGTCCCTCCTAACTGCTTCCTTTGTCTTATAGCCCACAATAGTCCTTATGACTTTTTTCCCCATAAACTTTGACATATAGGACAGCATACCATCAATTGGTGGTCCTCTGCATTCCTCTCTTCAAAACCATCCAGAAAACCCACCTATTCCAGGAAGCTATCTTGTTACTGGCTTCCCCACCCCTGGTCTAGGACCTCCTTCCTACTCGGGTTGCTGTGTATTGTCCTCTGTTCCTGGGGCTTATAGCCTATAAGTGCCCTCAGGGATGGGGCTTTGTTCTTTGTTTGAAACAGTCTTATCTATTGTGTAGTTTTGGGTTCATTTTTGTTTCCATAGAAATATAAATTCCAGCAAACACAAAATTAAATGAGTTTCAAAATAGTTTTTTGCATTGCTATGGTTTTAAGCCTTATGCCACTATTTCTAAAGAGAAATATGGCAAAGTAGAATTTCAAAGAAAGAACTGAAAAAAAGTGTAAAATTACACACCAGGCACAGTAAGAACTGAATTCATGAATTTAAAAACTGATTAAGATATCGCTTATTGTGGCTGGGTGCGGTGGTACACGCCTGTAATCCTAGCACTTTGGGAGGGTGAGGCGAGTGGATCATTTGAGGTCAGGAGTTTGAGACCACCCTGGCTGACATGGTGAAACCCCATCTCTGCTAAAAATACAAAAACTAGTCTGGCGTGTTGGCATGCACCTGTAATCCCAGCTACTCTGGAGGCTGAGGCATGAGACTTGCTTGAACCTGGGAGGTGGAGGTTGCAGTGAGCCAAGATCATGCTACTGCACTCCAGCCTGAGTGACAGAGTGCAACTCTATCTTAGAAAAAAAAAAAGATACTGCTCATTGTAAAAAGATTGTAAAGTGACAAAAATTTAAATTTTTCTTTATTTCAGTAGTAGTTTTTTAAATATTACAATTTGACTTGAATTATTAGTTGTTTTACTGCCTCTGTTAAACTTCTTTTGAATTTCTTTTCTCTCTCTTTCTCCCAGAGGAAACCACTCCCTGATGTGGTTTAAAATATTTTATGTATTTTAATAAATCGGATCATTTTGTATGTATCTATCTACAACTTGCTTTTGCACTCTGTTTTTTTGGAAATTTTGTTGAAATGTGTATATCCAATGCATTCACTTTAACTGATGAATAGTATTTCATTTATTGATCCATTCCACTTTGGAATTGTTTTATTTCCAGTTTTTCATTACAAAAAACAATGAATGCTGAAATGTGCAAGTGCAAGAATTTCCCTGTGGTATGTCTGGAAAGGATGTCAGGATAACAGGCAAAAACAAGAATTGTCCTGGCAGCCTAGAGATAGAGCATGCCCATCTTCAGCTTTGTAGGCATAGCCAAATGTACTACAGAGGTTAATACCATTTTAACTAAAACTGTCAGTGTATCTGAGTTCCTATTTCTCCATAGGACCTCCTATCTCTTAAAGATACCAGTATCTCATCTGCTTTCAGCCTGGATTTACATGGCTAGTAATTTAAAATCATTTGGTTGGGAAGGGTGGTAGGTGAGACTCTAAATTTTGTAGGTAGTGTCTGTGGCTAGGGCTTTATAGCTCCTGAGATTATGTAGTCAAACTTCGCCCTTTTTTTATATATGTAGAAAATTACCTGGAAGGATTGTATGACTTGTCCAAGGCCGCATAGCTAGTTAATGGTTGAAACGGGATGGAAATCCAGGATGACACTTAATTCCCAGACCAATTTTTTCCCTATTAAATAATTAGAGCCACTTAAAACATTTTGTTATCTCTTCCCTCTATAGTATTAGTTTGTATGGAAATAAAATAAAAATAAAACTAAAGGGTTGCAGCATCTTTCATAAAGGTACATACTCTTATTTATCTTTAACTTCCTTGTTAGCTTCTGCATTTTTAATATTTTGCAACAAATATTCTAATGCTTGTTCCTTCATCTTTCTATTTTATGTATGTAAATTACTCCTTCAGATGAAATCATAAGGCCCTGGTTTGACACATAATTTCTAGGTTAAGAAAGCACTAATTCTGTATGTAAACATAGGTTAATAGGTTAATTTCTTTCCAGTGTTTGACTTCCAACATGGCCTTCAGTGCACTTTTCATGTAATATCCCACTGAACTAAAGTATGGCAGTGAGGCCTAGGTGTTGGACAAAAAAAGATAATAATATTTCTGTAAAATTATGAATTTAAAATAGTTTTGAAAAATATTGTGGCTAATTTATTTCTGTACCATACGTATGACATGCATGAAGACTGTCAGGAGGCGCAGCCCAACTTTGTTACCTTGGTTGAGTCATGTCATGGTGGAACCATGTTTCCTTATTGCAAAGCAAGAGGTTGAGTCTGACTTCTAAGGCTCATTAAATTTTTTTTTCATAATGATACTTTCATTATAAATATTTATTATTTTTCTATCACTTAATTTTTTTCCTAAGGTAACCAGTTATAAATGTATGTCCTCTTTTACATAAGTGATGTATATTGCTATAAACTGTTGAAAATGTTTACCAAAATATTATTCCTAATACTGTTTAAATTTAAAAGCTGAGTATCTTTTTTTCTTTATGTGGAAATTCTATAAAGTATCATATTAGAGGCTTTTCAAATTTGAAATAGAAAACCCTTCCCCTAGTAAGCATAGTAATGGAAATTTTTGTCTTTCATAACGCAGATCATCTAAAAAAATGTCACTGGACTTTCTAATTTTCTCTCTTTGAGTTTTAATATGATTATTCTGAGGCCCATTAATGTTTCATGAAGTTATGACTCTATATTGTTTTAATCTTGAAAAATAAGTCCTGAAAAATAGATGCATGTATGTGTGCATAGGGCTGGAAAAAATAGAAAATACACAATTATATATTCTGCCTCAGTCTTTGTGTGTAACAGCGAGAGCTTTCTCATTAGGACTGATTAAATTTATAGTCAAATTATGGAGATTATAGAGCTAATAAAGGAAACAAAAGATAGAATGCAGTAAGATAAAGTTCCTAGAAAATATAGATTAATTTTTAATTGTAGTCATATCTCCTATTATTACATGGCTCAGACTGTTTCTTGGCTGGTTGGCTGGTTGGCTTTATTGCTTTTACAAGGTTAAAAAGCTGAATTGCTATTCTTTGTGAAAACATCATATCCCATAGGGAATAATTAAGACTAATAAATAGTTGGAAGCAGAACCATGAATTGAGTTAATGCTTCATTCTTTTTTCCCTTGTAGGAAACCTTATTTGAAAAGAAGGTAAGTACCTCATGCTTTGATTACTATGAATTACCGTAAAATCTTGCATTATCAAATCAGCATTATAATTCACATTAGAAAATTAAGTGTGACTAAGTAAAAATTCATAGTTCTTTTAAAATGAGCCACTCTATTCTGAGGCAGCCATCTGATTTCTTTTATACTACCATATTCAATGCAGGTTGGAAAATTTAGAAAAAGTAGGAAATACTGAATATGACTCCAGGAGTGATTTTAGAAATCAGTGATAAGAAAACCACATGTTTTTGCTTCCTTTGATATGCCTTCTTTATTCTAAGCATATCTCTGACATCAGCCACTCGTGGGGGTCCTTTATTTCGGGGAGTGTTCCTTGTGTTGGCTAGGTTAGGCAGAGTGTTCCCAGCTAAGAGGCAGAGTTTAGAGTCATCCCCTCCTGTCTGCCAATTGCCTTGAGCTCATTCTCCTTCTTATTTTGAAGAAAAGGCAACCCAATGATGGCAACCAGATCACGTGGCAAAGGAATCTGGCAAATATGGAAATATGGGCCTTAGCCCAATAGATGATCATCAGCTTGCTGAGGAGTCCCTCCTGGACATGCATTTCTTAAAGCAAAGAGTTTGGAATATCTAAACTTTGTTCAATGAGCTGCTTATTTAACATCAGGAAATTTACAAGTATTGTTGCATAAAATAATAGGAGTCACCCAAACCTTCTAGAGCACCATGTTTTATTGAATTGTACATGTTCAGGCATACCATTATGTTATGTACCATTAAGAAAGGAAACAAACCTTGCCAATTTAACTTACAGTATCTTCTTATTAATTGCAATTTTTATTTTATACTTATAAAAAGAAGTTTTTAGATATTTTAGATGTAGATTTTAAAATCCTGTGTCACTTTCATATATACATATAAAGGAATTGTAAGCAAAATAACTTGGTTATTTCTAAAACTTCTTCACATCAGAGTTTAAATTAAACTTGTCCAACTTGTGGCCAGCAGGCCCAGGACGACTTTGAGTACAGACCAACACAAATTCATAAACTTTAAAAAAATATTATAAAATGTATGCATGGACTTTTTTTTTTCTCATCAGCTTTCATTAGTGTTAGTGTATTTTATGTGTAGTCCAAGGCATTTCTTCTTCTTCCAATGTGGCCTAGGGAAGCCAAAATATTGGACACCCCTGGTAAATCTCTGAATCAATTTTTGTCTGAATTATTGATGTCCTTGTTTTTCAACATAATAATGACTTGTATGTCAGCAAAAGCATTGATATAAAGAATTTCTTAAGAATGTTCTGGAATTTTCTTCCATTTCATTCTGCAAGTTTTGAAGTGCATGTGCAGAAAGCAACTACTTTGTCATGACTGAGCCTGGTCAATAGCTGTTATAAGACTCATTCTGATTTCAGAGTTGTTAAAATGCGGAAGAATGTGCATCTTAGAAATAGTAAAATATGGGATAAGCCAAATGATTTCCTTTGTTTAGTAAAGGAACATTTAGTATTATTATATTATTGAGCTTTGATGTGTTATATGGAAGAGAAGCAGCAGAAATTCTAAAAGTCCACTGAAAATATGTATTTTCTCCTTTTAACTGGTATCTATATATTATATATGTTTTATTGATGGGATGCCTATTTTATTTAACCATGCTGAAATTTAAGAATATTTTGTTATCTGACTATTGATAGGTATAAATTTGCCTAGAATAATTTAATAGAGAGAGCAAAACCTCCACGAATGTTCACCGTAAAATTTCTTTGAGAGTGTTCCAGTTGGTTATATGCTGAATACAATTTGAAATGCTGTATTTCACTGTGTGTTAATATCATGTTTCATTATTGATTCAGTGTGAACGCAAGATTTGTGAATGTGAGAAAGGAGATCCAGGTGATCCAGGGAATCCTGTGAGTATATTTCTACTTTAAACATAAGTCAGGAAGTCCTAGCAATGAGATAGCTCTATTCGCTCTTGAAAACATCAGGGCTATTTTGAACTGTTGAAAAGCAATTGTTTGGAAATGGCAGCAAAAATGGAAATACTACTTCTTTCTTTTATTTCTAAAGGGACACATTCTATCCTTAGAAATAAGCCTGGGATTTTGCTGACCTGAACTGAGGGCAGGCATGTTTTGAAGTTGTTTCCACAAAGGACATTGTGTCCCTCCTCATAAAATAATTGAAGCCAGAATTTCTTAATAGTGAAGTGAAAATACAGAAAAAGCTAACACAAATAATCAGTGCTTTAGGCAAAGCTATATCCCACCAGAAACACGAGGCACAAGCCTCTCTGGAAGTTAAATGTTGTCTTCACACAAATGCAGCAGTGCAGCAGCAACAGCATGTGGACTCGTGGACAGGAAGCTGGTCAGGACTCTTTGGGAGATTATGATGAGTTCTGTGAAATGGAAGTAAACACATGGCAACCAAAAATAAATGGCAGGATTTACTATGATGATTCATTATTTGGTAAGATAATATAGGATGGAGTGCTTCATATTTTGGAGTGCCTTATATTTTGGCCTAATATCTGGTAGGTTTCATGTCTATACTGGGAGGGCATTTGAAATGACATCTAGATCACTGGAAATGCTGAGCATTTCTTTAACATTTATCTTCATAAAACATCCATGTGTTCATTCAGTCTTCTATTTATTTGTGCAATTCCAAATATCATCCTTAGAGTTCAGAAGAAGCCCTATGGAGATTCTCACAAAATTCATGGGTAAAAATTTTCAACTAATGCTTGTATTTGGGGATAGGAGGGGAATGTATACTGTGACTGTGTTAGAATATGACAAATTTCACCTTGAGACTTGGGTCCAAAGCCTACATTTTTCAAACCATCTAACCAATCAAGGGATCTCTTTCTCCCCAAATACAAAGTTAGATGCATTATATAATAATGGAGCAGCCAGTAGAGGCTGACTCTGACTAAAGCAAAGATTTAGCCATCCCTTCCTATAAAGTCTTAGTTTATCCCCATTACACCAAGAGATGGCCAGGGTAAGAAATATTTCTTTATATTTTAAAATGAACAGTAAGGAAATTCACAATTGTTAAGCACCTGAGAATTTTAGTCACATTCTTGTCACATTTTAGTAGGGATAAGCCACAGAGTATATTATTTAACATTTTTTGAGTACCCCCAACACCAGTTCTCAGAAAAGCAAGATTTTTGGTTAATTAGAAACAGGAAAACAAAATGCTTTTCTAGAAGAGGATTACAGAGCTTCTTTCTCCTATCTTTTGAGATTGTCACGTGTATATCAGAACCTCTTTGACCAAAGGCAAGGAAGCTGGCCTGGCTGCAAATCAAAATCACATTGAGATACTACCTCACACCAGTTAGAATGGTGATCATAAAAAAATCTGGAGACAACAGATGCTGGAGAGGATGTGGAGAAATAGGAACACTTTTACACTGTTGGTGGGAGTGTAAAGTAGTTCAACCATTGTGGAAGACAGTGTGGAGATTCCTCAAGGATCTAGAAATAGAAATTCCATTTAACCCAGCAATCCCATTACTGGGTATATACCCAAAGGATTATAAATTGTTCTATTATAAAGACACATGCACACACATGTTCATAGTGGCACTGTTTACAATAGCAAAGACCTGGAACCAACCGAAATGCCCATCAATGTTAGACTGGACAAGGAAAATGTGGCACATACACACAATGGAATACTATGCAGCCATAAAAACGATGAGTTTGTGTCCTTTGTAGGGACATGGGTGAATCTGGAAACCATCATTCTCAGCAAACTGAAACAAGAACAGAAAATCAAGCACCGCATGTTCTCACTCATAGATGGCTGTTGAACAATGAGAATACGTGGACACAGAAAGGGGAGCATCACACACTGGGGTCCGTTTGGGGGTGCCTAGAGGAGGGACAGTGAGGGTGGGGAGGGATAACGTGGGAAGAAATGTCAGGTACAGGTGACGGGGGGATGGAAGCAGCAAACCACCTTGCGATGAATGTACCTATACAACAGTCCTGCATGATCTGCACATGTACCCCAGAAGCTAAAGTACAATAAAAAAAAAAAAAGTGAGCAACAGAAGGGAATTGTAGAAGTGGCCCACAATGAAGAGAGGTTGGGAACAACTCCGACCCTTTGGCCTGTTGCGGCTGCTCTTTTAAATCTTTGCATGAGTTTGATTTTGTTTGCAAAACTGCCAAGAAGTAATTGTTTTGGGAAGAAGTAATTGGTGGTAAGAGAGAAACATTATTCTGTTTTGAGCAAATCTAGAAAATCTGCCAACTGAAGACAGTGGTTTTCTTGTGTAGAAAAGGGGAGAAGAGAGTTGAATCTTGGCTTGGCAGGTAAAGATTTTACAATTTTCCCTCATTCTAGGAGACAAAGCTCATCAGAAATTACTATAAAGTATAGAAAACAATAGAATGCCTACTTAAAAATAATATTTTTTTCCTTTGCCTTCAGGGTACACATGGAAACCCAGGTATCAAAGGTGAGCGAGGACCAAAAGGAAACCCGGTAAATGAATAAACAGTTTTTCTTTAAACCAGCATATTTTCTTCTAGATTTATTTTTAAAAAAACAACTATTTTAAAAATAAAAAGAATTGTAGTATATGGCAAAAATCTGACAATTTTTGTGAAGAATACAGGATATCCACTTCCTATATTATCTATCTTGTTTCTATTAGCTTGAATTCACAAATTCTGATTAACATATGAATATTTTAGTCAGTAAATTTAGGAAACCTAGGGACATTGAATAAGCAGAAACTAGTACTTAAATGATAGCAGCCCATCTTATTTAGGACAATGTTTAATGAACTTATAATATATGTACCATATCAAATTGACATTGGCACTTGTGTTTTTAATGGGTTTACTTTTAATGAATAACTAACTGTCAATAATAATAGAAAAACCACCAGATGTTTTCTCACTCCCAGAGCATCTTCAAGGACTTCATCAATTCCTTTTCTCTGTGTACCTATCAAAAAAAAAAAAAAAAAAATCCTAGGCGTTTAAAGAAAATATTCACCTGTTCAGATCATTGGTAGGATTTTGGTTCCCAGTTCAAGAACAACAGCAGGAATCACAAAGAGAAAATCATATATAACTATGTGAAAATTTAAGATAAAATTCTGCATAATGAAAAAATAATAATTAAAGGGAGTGATATGCTTTGGTTGTGACCCTACCCAAACCTCATCTTAAATTGTATGTAGCTCCCATAATTCCCACATGTGGTGGGAGAGACCAGTGGGAGGTAATTGAATCGTGGAGACGGGTCTTTCCCATGCTGTTCTTGTGATAGTGAGCAAGTCTCATGTGATCTGATGGCTTTAGAAGGGGAAGTTCCCCTACACAAGCTCTCTTGCTTGTTGCCATGTAAGATGTGGCTTTGTTCCTCCTTTACCTTCTGCCATGATTGTGAGGCCTCCGCAGCACTGTGAAACTGTGAGTCCACTAAACATATTTCCTTTATAAACTACCCAGGTGTGTCTTTATTAGCAGCATGAGAACAGACTAATATGGGGAGAGGATATTAAAGAAATAAAAATATCAGGGAATATTTGTATCATATATAATGGACATTGGGTTAATTTCTATAGTCATTGAGTTAATTTCTGAACACAATTTTCAAGAGAGGAAACAAAACTAGTAAAGAAAAAAGTAAAAGCACATTTAATTTCATTAGGTAATAAAAGAAATTTAAATAGAGAGAATGAGGTATACTTTAGTAGTAATGCTTACATTTTAGGAACTTTGGAATCTTCTGGATTTCTAGTTCAGATTGTTTGTTTTTGTGTGTATTTTGAAGTTTTAAAATATTTCTTTCATTATAGCAATTAACAAAGCAATATTAAAACAATAATAACTAGAGATAGCAATGTGGCAGTGAAACTGGTTTGCTTTTCATTGCAGGGATCTTGACACAAATATTTTGGGAGCAATTAGGCAAAACGTAAGAGGTACTCAAATACTGACAAAGATAACTATTAAATTAAAAGTCAACTCAAAAATTAACTCTAAAATAGCTCTATTTCTTAGAAAATTTTTAGGGAGGTAGTGAAAAAAATCATTAAGTGAAATGCATAAAAGTATTTTTGGCAATTGTCTGCTTGTCAAAGAAAGGGAATATAGCATCCTTGGATAGTTTTACAATATACACACACATGCACACCCAAACAACCCTACACTCACTCATATACATCCAAACTGATGCCATCATGCCTTTTTTTTGTTGGGTTAAATACCTGTTATAAGTGTATGTTCACATTTTATTTATTTGGTTTATAATTTTGTGCTACATAATATATTTTCTTAAGTCTTACTGAATCAAGCAATCACTCTTGAGGACATTTTGGAAAACATTCCAAAGCCCCTTAGAGAAAAGGCAGAGTGACTGGCTACAAGTGAATGTAGTGCTGTATTTGAGAACAACAGCTGTGTTGTTCAACCAGGATGTGGCGTAAGCTGTGAAAATGTACCTGGATCCTGCACCCTACACGTCTGGCTTCACTCCAAAGGGCAAAGTTTATCTGAGTTGCTATTTTTTTTTGCCTAGATTGCATGGTGAAAATGTCAATGGGCAAGGCTAAATTGTTTCCTAATTGGGTTAAGCTATTAATCTGGAACTTCTGTATAATGCATTTTATTGAGCAATCGGTCACTCTGCAGGGCTGTGGAATTTTGACTGTTTTTTGTTTGTCACAGGGCGATGCTCAAAAAGGAGAAGCTGGAGAAAGAGGTCCAGGGGTAGGTATACAACTGGAATGCCTTCCTAAGAAAATGATCCTAGGTTGCTGACCGTTTCGAGCCCTGTAGTGCAAGTGCAAAAGTGATTTCTATCTACCTTGTGCTCTTGATGGCTCAGGAAGGCAATCAGAAAGATCTGATTTTAGAAGTGGAAATGTGGGGAGAAAATAGCTCAACAGGAGTGAAAGTGGGAGCAGGAGTGTTTAACCCTATCAAATTATGATGCTTAATTTGACTTTGGTGAAAGGTTCCAATGAGAAAAGTATTTGCTTTATTTCTTATTTTTTTATGATAAAGAATAAGTTATAATTTCAGGAGCATAAGAACTACGTGGTCTAAACCATACTTTTGTTAATCCAATTCTGCAGACATAATAAAATTTATCACTCTATTTGATTTCTTATCCCCCAAATTAGAAGATAGTGCCCAAGAACTAATTACAGTATGTTTATTATTTTGGACTTTTCTGGGCATTGCTGTTAAGTGTAGCAAATAGCAGAGATGTGTACAGTGAATAAAACAAAGACCATAAGACATTGGCCCTCTCTGCTTGTCCCCCCTGAACTCAGACCCAGAGATGTTACAAACTATTCTCTGGGCATTTTTAATCCACTTCATAAAAAATCTGATAGAAAGTTTGATAATGTCAACAAAAACTCAGTCTTAAATTTGTGTTATTCATTCAGGAAACATTTCTTAGGTATCTTCTACATATAAAGTATATAAGTATGTGAAAATAAAACTAAAAACACTTATATTTTTAAAAAGCTTATTATCTTATAGGAGACAATTCTACTTTTATCTTCTATTCCTCAGTGACCACACATGTGGAAGTTTTATTTCCTTCATGAAGTTTCCTTTTGTAAAAAAAAAAAAAAAAAAAAAAAAAAAGTCAGGCCAGGCACAGTGATTCATACCTGTAATACCAGCACTTTGGGAGGCCTAGGTGGCAAGATTACTTGAGGCCACTAGTTCGAGACCAGCCTGGGCAACATAGTGAGACCCTTTCTCAACAAATAAATAAATAATACTATTAATAAAAAAGTCATACATAGAATGAAATTTTGTAGTCTGATTCACATGTAACTGCAATAATAGCTTATTTATTAAATAGGTTTATTCAGTTCTCTAAGTACATATGACAATTCTATTTCCATACTTTAAAAATATAGCTGTATGAAAAAGATAAAAAATTCCATTTGAAGAGGACTTGCTCCTGCAGAGAACTGGTAATTTCCCAGGCCAAATAATATTCACTATTGTGAATATTCTTAAAGGGCCATGGGCAGTAGTGACACAATGGAAAAGACTATACAGGATTCCCAAGTGTGACACACAGAAGACAGGAGAAGTGCTGGCCCCCTATTTAGTGTGAGATAAAAGACAGTAGCTTAAAGTCTGATTAGGGCTGATAAAGGACCCTTTTATTTCCTTGATGTTTTATATTTTAGACTGAATTTGAAAGGAGGACCATAATGGATACAAATATTTACACACATTTTAAAGGCCATTATCTCAGCTCATTCTCAAAGCCAATTTCTTTAAGAGTCGCTGTGAAACATTCTTAGTTGCAATAGTTCATAGTTTAAAAGTCAGTATAACAATTTTGTAGGAAGGCCATCACTTCTACAGTGACTTTCAGTGTACATTATCTCCTCCAGTTTTGGCCTAAGGATAACAAATTGGATATGAAAAAAAATCTGAATCTGAGAATAAAATGTGATAAAGACGAAAAACAGATTCTTTCCTTCTCCTCAGTAAATGCACATTTCTCCAAGCACAAAGAGAAGTGAAACAGTTTACATTTCTGTGGTTTAGTTTTCCAGACTGTATAGATGTGTTTTTGTTATACCTTGTAATTGAAAAATGCCTAATTCTTATTCTAATTCTGCCTTAGACTATCATATTTTACTTTTTCTTTTCTTTTTAAATTAGGGAATTCCTGGGTACAAGGGTGACAAGGTAAGTTGGTAACAACCAATAGATAGACCAGAATTTCAAAAAGAAAAACTTCTGTTCATAAGTGTACTTATGAACTTAAAGTTATTTTATTTATTTTTGTAAGTCTGGATTCCCTCTTTCCTGAGTTAACATAAAATAATAATAGAACTTAACATATGGATGTGTGTTATAAGGGATGGAGGGTACCATAAGATTCCTAAGATTAGAATCCAGCCTCCTTCAGCTTTGCAAACATGAATTATTTTACTAGAGAACCCTAATTTATTAGCCATACAGCACAGGTATGCAGGCTAAATGTTTATTTACACAAACAGATTCAGCAATACTCCAAGTAGGTTTCTCCCTTGGAGCTTAACTTCCTATGAAAACCTAGACACCAAACCCTCTCCCAGGGGAAAGAGAGGATTTATCCTGGTTAAGCAGTGAAGAGCCACTGACTTCACTGATTCAGGCAACTGGGTAGAGCTTGCAGGGGTAAATTTGGCAAACAAGCAAACAAAAGGTATGGGTTGGTAGATGGTTTGATGATGATTTGTAAGTTACAAGTTAGGATACCAAACTGCTTTAAAAGGGATTAACAAGTTGTACTGGGGCTCAGGAACCTCTGAGAGTGCTCACTGGTTCATTGATAAGTCTGTCCCACAGTTATCTTTATTATCAGATTTTCTATCTGAAATCAGAATATGCACCTATCATCCATCCCATCCTACAGGGCTACAACCCTCAGGCATGGGAAAGAGGCTGGAACTTTTGAGGGTCCATCTCTGGGTCTCCTCTGGACTCCCTACTTCTCATGGAGCCAGGAGTCTGCAGGAGGTCTGTGCTTCCTTCTCCTGGATCATGCATTGGGTAGCCAAGACCCCAGAAGGCCTGTTCCTGGGAGGGCATACAAAAACCTCCTTTCTATATCCGTCTTTTTCCTAGGCTGAAGGCAAGCCACATGGTAGCTGTTGGGGAAGGAGAGGTCATGCAGGGGGCTTTGTTGTGCTGCCCAGGGCATCTTCACATGTGTGTTCATGCTCTTCTTGCTGTGGAAGGAGTTGGAGGTAGGAAGTGAAGTGGGGGCCAGGGTGCAGGGGGCTGTGTCTGGCAAGGACCTCTGAGGAATTCACAAGTCTTTTAATTCTTTATTCCTTTTGAATACACATTTATTAGAGAAGGAAGCCAGAACATTATTAGTTATCACTTTCAACTATTTAGACACATGATATGTGGGCTTCCACTTACACTCTTTTTTTTATTTTTTATTTTATTTTTTTAAATTGTACTTTAGGTTCTGGGTACATGTGCAGATCATGTAGGATTGTTGCATAGGTACACACATGGCAATGTGGTTTGCTGCCTCCATGCCCCCATCATCTACATCTGGCATTTCTCCCCATGTTATCCCTCCCCAACCTCCCCACCACCACTGTCCTTCCCTTGGTGCCCCCCAACATACCTCAGTGTGTGATGCTCCCCTCCCTGTGTCCATGTGTTCTCATTGTTCGTCATCCGCCTATGAGTGAGAACATGTGGTGTTTGATTTTCTGTTCTTGTGTCAGTTTGCTGAGAATGATGGTTTCCAGATTCACCCATGTCCCTACAAAGGACACAAACTCATCGTTTTTATGGCTGCATAGTATTCCATGGTGTGTATGTACCACATTTTCCTTGTCCAGTCTATCATTGATGGGCATTTCGGTTGGTTCCAGGTCTTTGCTATTGTAAACAGTGCCACTATGAACATGTGTGTGCATGTGTCTTTATAATAGAACAATTTATAATCCTTTGGGTATATACCCAGTAATGGGATTGCTGGGTTAAATGGAATTTCTATTTCTAGATCCTTGAGGAATCTCCACACTGTCTTCCACAATGGTTGAACTACTTTACACTCCCACCAACAGTGTAAAAGTGTTCCTATTTCTCCACATCCTCTCCAGCATCTGTTGTCTCCAGATTTTTTTATGATTGCTATTCTAACTGGTGTGAGTTTGTAGCTCAATGTGGTTTTGATTTGCATTTCTCTAATAGTCAGTGATGATGAGTATTTTTTTATATGTTTGTTGGCCTCATATGGTCTTCTTTTGAAAAGTGTCTGTTCATATCCTTTGCCCCCTTTTGGATGGGTTTGTTTTTTTCTTGTAAACCTGTTTTAGATTCTGGATATCAGCCCTTTGTCTGATGGGTAGATTGCAAAAAAATTTTTCCCATTCTGTTGCTTGCCGGTTCATTCTAATGATTGTTTCTTTTGCTGTACAGAAGCTCTGGAGTTTAATTAGGTCTCATTTGTTTATTTTGGCTTTTGTTGCCAATGCTTTTGGTGTTTTAGTCATGAAGTCCTTGCCTATTCCTATATCCTGAATGGTTTTGCCTAGGTTTTCTTCTAGGGTTTTTATGGTGTTAGGTCTTATGTTTAAGTCTTTAATCCATCTCGAGTTAATTTTAGTGTAAGGTATCAGGAAGGTGTCCAGTTTCTGCTTTCTGCACACTGCTAGCCAGTTTTCCCAACACCATTTATTAAACAGGGAATCCTTTCCCCATTGCTTGTTTTTGTCGGGTTTGTCAAATATCAGATGGTTGTACATGTGTGCCATTTATCATTTATATATTGTAATATACCCTATATCTCTGTTTCGGTACGAGTACCATTCTGTTTTGATTACTGTAGCCTTGTAGTTTGAAATCACGTAGCATGATGCTTCTGGTTTTGTTCTTTTTGCTTAGGATTGTCTTGGCTATGCAGGCTCTCTTTTGGTTCCATATGAAGTTTAAGGTGGTTTTTTCCAGTTCTGTGAAGAAGGTCATTGGTAGCTTAATGGGGATAGCATTGAATCTGTAAATTACTTTGGGCAGTATGGCCATTTTCACGATATTGATTCTTCCTAACCATGAGTATGGAATGTTTCTCCATCTGTTTGTGTCCTCTCTTATTTCCTTAAGCAGTGGTTTGTAGTTCACCTTGAAGAGGTCCTTTACATCCTTTGTTACTTGTATTCCTAGGTATTTTATTCTCTTTGTAGCAATTGTGAATGGGAGTTTGCTCATGATTTCTCTCTCTGTTAGTCTGTTATTCGTATATACAAATGCTTGTGATTTCTGCAAATTGATTGTGTATCCCAAGACTTTGCTGAAGTTGCTTATCAGTTTAAGGAGATTCTAGGCTGAGATGATAGGGTCTTCTAAATGTACAATCATGTCGTCTGCAAATAGAGACAATTTGATTTCCTCTTTTCCTAATTGAATACCTTTATTTTTTTTCTTGCCTAATTGCTCTGGCTGGAACTTCTAATACTATGTTGAATAGGAGTAGTGAGAGAGAGAGAGCATCCTTGTCTAGTGCTGGATTTCAAAGGGAATGCTTCCAGTTTTTGCTATTCAGTATAATATTGACTGTAGGTTTGTGGTAAATAGCTTTTATTGTTTTGAGATATGTTCCTTTGATACCTAGATTTTTGAGAATTTTTAGCATAAAAGGCTGTTGAATTTTGTCAAATGCCTTCTGTGCATCTATTGAGATAATCATGTGGTTTTTGTCTTTGGTTCTGTTTATGTGGTGGATTACATTTATAGACTTGCCTATGTTGAACCAGACTTGCATCCCTGGCATGAAGCCTACTTGAACATGATGGATAAGCTTTTTGATGTGCTGTTGCAATAGGTATGCCAGTATTTTATTTAAGATGTTTACATCTATGTTCATCATGGGTATTGGCCTAAAGTTTTCCTCTTTTGTTGAGTCTCTGCCAGGTTTTGGTATCAGGATGATGTTGGTCTCATAAAATGATTTGAGAAGGATTCCCTCTTTCTGGATAGTTTGGAATAGTTTCAGAAGGAATGGTACCAGCTCCTCTTTGTACGTCTCGTAGAATTCAGCTGGGAAACCGTCTGGACCTAGATTTTTTTGATTGGTAGGCTATTAATTGCTGCCTCAACTTTAGCCCTTGTTATTGGTCTATTCAAGGTTTCAACTTCTTCCTGATTTAGTCTTGGGAGGGTGCAAGTGTCTGGGAATTTATCCATTTCTTCCAGGTTTACTGGTTTATGTGCATAGAGTTATTTGTAGTAATTTCTGATTGTAGTTTGTATTTCTGTGGAATCAGTGGTTACATACCCTTTATCATTTTTTATTGCATCTATTTGATTCTTCTCCCTTTTCTATTAATCTGGTTAGTGGTCTGTCTATTTTGTTGATCTTTTCAAAAAACCAGCTCCTGGATTTATTGATTTTTTGAAGGATTTTTTTTTGTGTGTGTCTCTATCTCCTTCAGTTCTGCTCTGATCTTAGTTATTTCTTGTCTTCTGCTAGCTTTTGAGTTTTTTGGATCTTGCTCCTCTAGCTCTTTCAATTTTGATGATAGGGTGTTGATTTTAGATCTTTCCTTGCTTCCCATGTGGGCATTCATTACTATAAATTTCCCTCTAGACACTGCTTTAAATGTGTCCCAGAGATTCTGGTATGTTGTATATTCATTCTCATTGGTTTCAAATAACATCTTTATTTCTGCCTTCATTTCATTGTTTATCCAGGTGACATTCAGGAGCCAGTTGTTCAGTTTCCATGAAGTTGTGCAGTTCTGAGTTAGTTTCTTAATCCTGAGTTCTAATTTGATTGCCCTGTGGCCTGAGAGATTGTTTGTTATGATTTCCATTTTTTTTTTGCATTTGCTGAGGAGTGATTTACTTCCAATTATGTGGTCAATTTTAGAGTAGGTGCAGTGCGGTGCTGAGAAGAATGTATGTTCTGTGGATTTGGGGTGGAGAGTTTTGTAGATGTCTATTAGGTCTGCTTGGTCCAGATCTGAGTTCAAGTCCTGGATATCCTTGTTAATTTTCTGTCTTGATCTAATATTGACAATGGGGTGTTAAAGTCTCCCACTATTATTGTGTGGGAGTCTAAGTCTCTTTGTAGGTCATTAAGAACTTGCTTCATGTACCTGGGTGCCTCTGTAATGGGTGTGTATATATTTAGGATAGTTAGCTCTCTTGACGCATTGATCCTTTTACCATTATGTAAT